CTTACTTACTTACTTACTTACTTGATGTGAGGTGCCTGGCTGAACCAGTGGTTGGACAGCCCACTAGAGAAGAAGATCTCCAACGACAGGCGAGCCTACACGGCCAACCAGTTCTCAAGGCGCGAGCCCTTTTCAGCCAGAGCAGAGCAGAGTCATAAGCCTGAGACCCCTTACCCCACGTGCAGAAGCCCGACGGAACCTGAAACACTCAACCTTTCGAACATTTCCATAGCCCGAAACCCCGAACCCAAAACCTGTCGGAGTTGCGATCACCGAAACCCCAGAAAAGACCTGGAGCCTTGGAGGCACTTTCCCAGCACCTGGGAGCCCATGTACAAGGGCAGTCCAGAGGCAACTCAGCGCCGCCTCGCCCAGGACGGCAAGGCCCTGGCTTTGACAAAGGGAGGCGGTGCACGGTTTAGGGTTTAGGGTTTAGGGGTTGGAGGAGGAGAAGGTTTTGGGGCAGTTCTTTTGGCTCCTTGGGTGTAGGCTTTTGGGTTTCGGGACCTTTTGGGGTGTCAAAAAGGGCTCTGGGGGATGAGGTGTACAGCATGGCAGAGTACCAGCAGTACTACGGAGACCAATGGCATGACAAGTGGAACGTGTGATCCTCGGAGCTTCCCGCGAGAGTCAGGGGCGGTCTCCAGCAAACAGGGTTTTGGGACTGTGCCGAGGTCTCACCTGAGCTTGCCTGCAAGGAGTGTGCGCCCTATGTGGCCCTTACGGTGCTGGTTTGAGCATCGGCGGCCTTGATTTCTAGACAGAGGCTTGGGGGGCTTGCTCCTAAGCCTGGCACAGAGCCGCAATCGCACTCGTTGAAAAAGCCAGGTGCGTGCAAGTGGCAGGTGTAGCAAGGCAGGTCAAGGCTTGGGGTCCTCTGCGGCGAAGGCTTGGACTCGTCATCAGCACCCTCTGCATTGGGTGTGGTTGGTTTTTCTTGGTAAGACTCTGAGCTTTGAAGAGACGGGCGACTCCCGAAATGAGCCCAGCATTGCAATAGTCAAGCCCTTGCGTGCAAGGGTTCTTCGGCACGCAACTTGTTCTCGGCCTGCTCCGGATTTTCTCGGCACGAGGCTGGCGAACGGCTCGGGCATGCGTGCACATTGTCATGTATGTCTGCATGCCTCCATGCATTTCAGCATGGGTTGTTCCGAGTCTCCCTCAACTCCGCTCTTCCTCTGCCTTTGTCTTCTTTGCCTCTGATTTGGCCACAGCGCAATCTCGCCGAAAGCGTGCCTGCAGGCCGCTGGAAAGTTCTCAGTCTGAAGACTTGACACGGAGGGCCCGGTTCCCTCGCCGGAACCGGTGGTTCCGAACATGGCAAAGCCCATGCTTTCAGGAACCCAGATCCTGACGGGACGCTCATTCAGAAAGGAGCTTTTCCAGAAAAGAGCTCTCGTCCCCCACTTCTTCGAAAGTCAGTCAGCCATCCGTTTGCCCAGGGGCTCCAGAGCAAGGACTGGTCGATGCGTGCGAAGGCTTGCCAGGCGAGAAGTCCTTAAGACTGCATTCTTGGGGGGAAGCTTTAAGTAAGTGGGAGGAAGAGTGGGACGACCCATGACGACCCGCTTTTAGAGTGCCTTTTTTGTTTTTTGGGGGTGCTCAGTTGGCCGCCAGCATCGGCCCGGCAGCGGCCCCTTCCAGCGCTCGGGGCTCGGAGTGCTCCCGACCTCCGCCAAAAGAATCAGAGCCCCCTGGCCAGGCGGCTCAGCTCACCGAGGTGATGCTGAGCGATGGCGACTCGGTGCCCCCCCCCCTTTTGGGTAGGGACCTATACTAGGCCTCGACATTTGGCTCAAGTCCAGAGGAGTCCATGTTGGTCCGACGAAGCACGCAAGTCGTGCATTTGTGACGTACTCCCGAACTGACACCTGCATGCACCGCAGACACACCAGCACTGAGTACTCGCCAGAAAAAGGAACTGGCTGGCAGAAGCAATGTCGCCTGTGCTACTCGCTGCCTGATGCACCAGGACGCAGAGCCACCAATGTAAGCCACGCGAACCTCCATACGTGTCCTTAGAAAACATCCTCGAACAGTTGGAAGCACGAGTCGGCTCTGCCGGTCCATCCCGCCAAGCATTAATCCAGGAATGGTGTGCAGCTGTTTTCCTTGATTGACGCCGAATTTTGCCAAGATGTTTCTGATACTGCTGCCGCCGCAAAGCCCCCCTGTCAGCAGCACCCAGCATGGACAGAATCGCGTGCCGACAGAGGCTGCGAAAGGAAAATACATATGGTCACCCTACATGAGAGCGCCAGTGCATCCCAAAGCTCTCTCGATGAGTTTTGCAAGAGCCTCCCTCTCTTGTGATGTCTGAAGCCTTACTGTCTTACCCACTGAGCCATGGCCGTCATCGGCTCCTCTCCTGCTGGAAGTCCGGCTGCCCGAAGATTTTACGGTGGGAGCGTGGGAGAAGAGGCCCGGTCCCGGAGGTTGCGGCCTTTCTCCCTGCCGTCCCGAAGCTGCTCAAGGTATGAACCTGCCAGTGCACCAGAGATCTGATTTTTTGTGGCCAGCTTGTACTTTGCAGGCTTTGCATTGCCAAGCCTGTGCCAATGCTGCAAGATCAGCAGGCCGGGGTCGGGCTCCTCCAGCGGGACTGATGCAGCTCCTGTGGTCCCTGGTCCCAACTCTGAACGTCAGGTCGGGCGTGCCGGTCTTTTTCCCTTTGGCGCGAACATCGTCGCTGGCTTTGGCTTCGCGATCACTTCGGTGCCCGAGGATTTGGGAAGCTGCTCTCTTCACTTCCTCAGCCGGCCGAAGCACGTGCTGCCGTGGCATGCCGGGAGCCAGTTGAATGGCAGTGAGAAGGAGCTATCCTCTGGCTGATCTTTGGCTCCTACATGTTCGGCCGATTCCTTGCTCTCCTTGGCACGCCTGCGCACAGAACGTTCCAGAGCCCGCTGGCCCTGCATATTACGGCAGCTTACGCTGCATGGATTCTGTGCCATCTGCGAGTTTTGGGCGGTGGTCACGTGGACGTACTCGTTCCTGCAAGCTTTGGTTCTGATCTCGCCTTCTGGATAACCTGGCCTCGCCAGCCAAGCTGGGCATGGCGATTACAGAGGATCTTTCACTTGATGCGCAGCTCAGCCTTACCCACAGCATCCTGGACCCAGGCCATCCCAGGCGGAGCGCGCGGAGGCTCTCCTGATGTTGCAGCAAGTCCAGGAAGTCCAGGCGGAGACGCTGGGCACGCGCCATCCCGACACACTGGCGTCCCAGCACTGGCAGTGGAGTTGGTGGAACCTGGGCAAGAATGGCAAGAAGGAGGAGGCTTTGCGTGGGGTCCAGGAAGCACCTGAAGCACGAAGAGAGGTGTCCCAACACAGCCTTTGTGAGTGTTTGGCGAGACTAGGCAGGTTCGACGAGGCGCTGGCCGGTGATTCAGGAAGTCCTGACGGCCGGCGAGGAAACGTTGGGAGCTGCTCGCAGGCAGAGACGAGGAGGCACTGCAAGCGTTTCGGAAGGTGCTGTCAGCCGTCAAGGAATTGGGGCCGGGCATCCACCGACGCTCCAGATCCAAAGCCATGAGATCCTGGAAGTCCAGAAACTGTTGGGCGAACGTGGCTGTGTGCATTGGGGGGGGGGCACCCTAGCACGCTCGAAACCCAAAGCATCTTGGTGGTGATCTTCAATTGTCTGGGCAGGAGAGAGGAGGCAGTGCAGATCTGCCAGGAGCTTCTGAACACCCAAGCTCGAGTGCTGACGCAGCTCTCGTAGAAGCTACCAACACTCCTGAGCCAACGCGGCAAAGCAAGGGGAAGGTGTTCATGTCAGAGGCCAAGCCGTCAGTGTTACGCAGACTGACGGGGGTGCTTCCGCCAAAGCCAGTCATTACCAGCATGGAGGCGGCTGTGGCCGAAGGACCTCTTGCTCCGCTGAGCTTTTAAATAACAAGTGGGGCAAGTGAGGGCTGGAGGTTCAGGGGCGGCTTAGGTGGGCTTGCTGTTACTAAACCTGGTTGAATGGTTGTGTCTTTGGACTTGGTGCTGTCGCTACCTCAACTTCCAACCCTTCATAAACTTGCGCGAGAGTGAGGTACACATTTTTGCTCAGTCTCTGGGGAAGTGAGACAGAGTTTCAGCTTACACACGCTTCATCGCTCACGCCCAGGCTTCAAGATTTTGTTGGCCTGGATGTCTTTACTTGAATTGACTGGGCGCGTTGCGAAGGTGCAGCGAGCAGCTCAGGCGAAGCTTTGCACAAGTCAACAGGAGGCAGAGACTAGAATGACTAGAAACAGGAGCTTCTTGTGCTGGGATCTTGGCACCCATTGGGAGCTCCCCGGGCTCGTGTTCACTGCTGCTTGGGGACCAGCGTTCTCGGTGATTTGCGGCCTCCGGTCCTTGAAGGACGGCCCTGACTCTGGCGCAGCTGCAGCAACAGAGGCAAGGGGGCTGCCACTTTCTTAGGGCGGAACTTGAAGGATCTTGCAAGACCTGCAAAAGCCCAGTTCAGTTCGGATTTTTCTAGCGCTCCATTCCTGGCTCTTCTTTCTGTGTATTTGTTTGTGTTTTTTGGTTCAAGAGACGTTGGAAAGATGTGGGGGCAGATATGGGGCCATGGCTGCCTTTGAGGCCCTCGAATATTTCCGGGCGCGCAATGCTAAGGACGGGATTACTGCAGTGCTGAAGCTGCGGGCGGCTGCTTCGTGGGCGCAGATCTCTCTGTCGCGTGCTGTGGGCCCGCTCTTCTCGGAGACAAGCACAGACGGATTTGCAGGAACCCTCCAGACCGTGCAGGACCTCCTCTTTGAATGCAAAGCAGAGGGCCAGCAAGAGCAGCAAGTCCATCTTCTCGACGTCCTCGCGCACGTGCACCTTATCCGAGACAACTCCAACCGAGCCTTGAAGTGCTACAAGGAGGCCTTGAGCCTGGCCAAAGAGGTTTCCAGCTCTGTGAGCCATCTGCAAGGAACTTTTGACATGATTCGGCGGCTGCGATCCGAGCCTCCTGCTGCGGAAGCTTTCGACGCAGAGGCGCAGGTGCCCAGCTTGCCCCAACTGGTGCAGGAGGCACTGAAGGGCAGCGGCGCCTCCGTGGACCGTTGCCGCCTGGCCTTGGTGGACTTCTTGGCACAGAAGACGAAGACGCACAGCGCCGCCCGCGCGGCCCTCCATGAGGCCTTGCAAGGCTTGGAGGGCTCGGGCATGGGGCTCCTGGTGCTGGGGAAGATGGACTTGACCTCCGCCGAGGCGGTGACGAGGCTCCACCAGGCCAGCCGGGCTTTCCGGGTAGATGGCCTCCCGGAGGCCGAGGCCACGGCCTTGCAGGCGCTGGCCACGGCGTTGTTGGTGCAGGTTCGGCCCGATCCAATGAATGCCTTGCAGGCTGCGGAGGAGGCCCAGGCACTCTTTAAGGAGGTGAAAGACCTTCGTGGCGAGGCCATTGCCCTGCAACTCATCGCCAACTGCCGGATGCTCTTGCAGGATCGGGATCGATGCATCACAGCAGGCTACGAGGCCTTCCGGCTCTTCGTGCAGGTGGGGGATGACCACGGCAGCAAGATCGCCTACAAGCTCCTCAACAGCCTTGGGCAATCCGATCAGCAGATTCGCGCATCTGCTGTGAAGAAAGAAGTTGCACGATTTGATGAGGTGAGGGTTAGTGAAGAGAAGCCGGAGGTGTCAGAAGAGCTCCGGGCGATCATGGCAGAGCAGGTGGTTTGGGAATACGCTTGGGTCCCTTCCGAGACCCAAGATCCCAAGTACTTTGGCGAGAAGCGGCCGAGTGGCACTCGCCGCATCCTGGTTGCCAGTGAGCTTCGAGATCCGCGGCTCACCCAGCAGCTGGCGCGTTGCCGGGCAAAAAGCCAAAAAGCGAAGCCTTTCTTCGCAAACCTCATCAACGGCCGGCTTCTGACGGCGAGTGCCATGGAGTCTGCCATGCAGGCATCCTTGTGCACTGCGGCTGTCTATGATGTGACGCGACTCAACAACCTAACCCACTTGGAGGTGATGGACGTCGCGATCCGATTGGTGAAAGCGTTGCAGCCCATTGAGGATCCCAACAAAGTTGCTCTGGACATCGTGCTGTCTTCCACACAGAGCATCGCGTCCGTCCAGGGCATCCGCATGCCCTTCCATTCCACTTTGTGGGGGTTCTGTAGGTCCGCGAGGATTGAGAATCCAACTCACGAGTTCCGCGTTCTCGATGTGGATGCGAAGACCTTCAAGCAGGACATGGCCTTTATCACCCGATACTTGTTGGGTGCACAAAGTACACGGCCCATGGAGGCCATCGTGAGGAAGGGTGCCTTGCATGTGGCCAGGTTAGTGAGTGCCAGGGCTGAGCTCAAGGCGCCTATGAAGATGGTCCGGAAGGTCTAGGAGTAGCAGCGCCACGGTAGCTCGAGCTGTGTGGGAGGCCCCATGCATCGACGGAGGCTCTAACCTGAAAGGATCCCAATGAGACGGATCCGACATGTGCCTCTTCCCGAACAAAAACCGTGTGCAGTTGGATAACTTGATTCTGGGAGCAACATCTCTCGGGCATAGGAAGACGTAGAGACATGAAGCAGGGCATTTTTGGGTGTGCTAGAACTCCGGCGGCCCAGATGGAGAACTGAAGGAACCGGCTGTTGATCTAGGTTCTGTGAGGTTCTTTCGGTGTGTGCCCTGTGCAAAGGTGTGATATGCCGCCGGTTTTCATGATGGGTTAGAGTAGCTTGCCAGGTAGCCTCCGGCAGGAGGTTTTGTTTTGCTAGAAAAGTCTGCAAACAAACGGGACGGTCAATCTTGCACGGTAGCTTACAGTAGCCTACATAGAGTGCAGCAGGGGCATTCTCCAAGGGTGCTGGGAGTTGAACTCTAACGTGTGTCGTTTCGCGTGCATTGAGATGCCTTCAAATGGTGCCAGGCTGGCCGGTTGCTATTCCTGATGGTCTGCTGATTCATGGCTGCACAGGTAGGTGTTATTTCACGTCGCTGACGTAGCTTTTCAACCCATCATGTGTGCGCACGTGCACACGTCTGTGACTGCAGTCGCATGCGTACACTCATAGATGCGGTCATGCGGACATGCCTGGCACGCGAGCACTTGATCACCGAGCACGGACGGACAAACAGACCAACAGACACACAAGGCCGTGTCCCTTTCGCGTTATCTGGCTCTCGCTCTCTCTCTCTCTC